TGCTTCACAATCCCTTAGTATTTAGGTAATCACAAATATTGGTAATTTTAAATATTTGGAAATATTTTCTACTTTTTTGTTTTATATTATTTTCAATTTTACTATGATTGCTCAACTAGTAATAACTATTAAATCTACTTTATCAATTTATCTAACATAATGGCATTGCGTTGAGTTGGAAATTTCTTTTAATGTTTACTAATACTCGTAGTTCCATAATAAAACAGATTCTTTGAATATTAAATTTTCAATAAACATTTAACCACTTAACCGATTAGTCGAAGCGGGAAATATTAAAAAACATTTCGTGTTCATTATAAGTTCGACAGCTATGAAAACTTCGAACTATTGCAGGGGCTGGGAAGAAGAGAAAATACGAAAACTACGAATGTTGTACTGTGTACTTAAGATTTTTGGCGATTGAAGCTTCCGTTTTGAGCTCTAAGAATCGGGAAAGATTTATTCTAAGAATCTGGAAAACAATTTCAACTAATTCATTAATTTCATTTAAATTTAAAAAAAAATCAATTTAAAAAAATATACAAAGTTCGCAAATAATTTTTAATATCACAAGCGAAATTCCATTTTAACCTTTTTACGGTCATGGAAAAGCCTTCGTCGCTTTTTCTACTTTCACGTTATTGAAATTCTTTAATAAATTTGATTAATACTCAAACTAATGAATTTAAAAATCATTTTGTTCTACGTATGTATTTTATTTAATAATTTCATTAAGTTAACTGAATATCATTCACATTCTATCATAAAAATAGAAAATAGCAGAAATCATTAGTTTTATTGAAAATGACATGTTTTGAAGTAATAAAAAAAAACTACAAATACAAATAGGAAAGAGGAAGTTAATGCTAGTATTGAAAGTTAATGTTATTGTAGTTGGCAAAACTTAAGAAAGGATATTGAATTTTGAAAACGAATATAAATAGCATGAAACATAAAGAGGACATGAATTAACTATTTATTTGGATGAAGTCCAAAATTTAATTTACATATTAAAAGTGATACTATTTACAAATATTTAATAATTACTACGGTATGAGAAAATTTCCGTACTTAGACAAATTTACACGGATACTTTGCCCATTCGACATTATCTTTACTCCAGACCGACAAATTCTACAGACGTGAATCTGTTTCTCCCTTAGTTTAGAAAATAGGTTGAAATTTCTATAAAATAAAAGTACGGAGAAAAAGAAGGATTTTATTAAATTTTTGTTAAAATTGAACTCATTTGACATTTTATTGAAATTTTATAAATAGGAAATTTCAATCAATATTTTTTTATACTGCTGCCTTATTTTTTAAATAATGAAAAAAAACCACGTTCCTACTTTTCCCAATATATTAAGAGGAAATCAAAATATAGAACTCACAATGAAAAAATTTTAAAGCCTAAAAATAATAAAATAATGTAGAAGATAAAAAAAATAGGAACAAAAAATAAGCACTATGAGAAATGAAAAAAAAACAAAAAAATACAATACCCTTATTCGCGAAAGAAAAAAACAAAAATGAAAAAAATGCACAAAATCTAAAAATCCTTTAAAAGGATTTTTCAGGTCTTATGGTTTCTGTGTTTCAAATATGCACTTAGCAAAAATCATTTGTTAGTAGTGCTAAAATACTGATGGCAGTAGCAGTATAGTAGGAACGCGTTGGTAAAGGATTTTTTTCCCTTTCTATTATACTTATTTAGTGTACCTACATATTTCATTTGGCTTTTTCCTAACCGAACTATACATTTAGAATAGATACATAAAATATGCAAGCAACGGGCCACATGCAACATTCGAAAATAAAATGCTGGCACGCCAATATTGTTTTGGAACTGTTCTCCAGTGCACCTTTTTTCTGCAGCAAGACGTAGAAGTATAAATTAAATCAAAAACACATTTTCTTCTTTGGCATAAAAACTGTAAGAGAAACTGAACTCTAGCAAAAATTTAAGACAATGAAAAACATAACAAAGTGAGCTGTTACTTTTAAAAACACAGATTTTTTGCAGCTCGGTACCATTTTTGTCAAAAATCAAGCTATTACACTTTCATTTTATACGAATAGCTTCTATTTCTAGAAGAAAAAAATTCACATCCACGTAATATCTAACACTTTACAGAATAAAGGCATATTAAATAAATAATAGTAACCCTAATCTATTACTACTACGTACAAAAATTCTAATCAACACAAAACTAATTTAAAATCAAATGGCCCCTAATATCGCAAAAAGTTTTACTTGCCTGATCCAAAATAATTTTATAACATAACCATATAAATTAAAAATTTTTTTTTTTTTGTGAGGTGTATTGACCCTCGCAAAAAATTCCTTAACCAACAACAATAATCTACACAAAAATAATAACAAATCATATTGTGGCATGAAAGTTTTACCACTATACAACACAATATAGTAAGAGAAATTTATTATTTACCTACCACACTACCACTCTTACTATTCTTTTTTGATTGCAATCAAAATAATTCAAGTTATTATAAAGGAGTGAAGAAGTTATGAAATTTTTGTGGCTTATTGCAGTAAAAAATTATTTTTGTGAAGCAGTTTTGCAGATGTTTTTTTGATTAGTTTTTCCTTCCCGTTTTGTTCTTTTCCCATTTCTCATGCTTTTCTGCATACATATTATGTAGTTTAAATAACACGAATATCGTACAGAACAAATTCAAATGTTATATATTTTTAGTGTGTTGTCTAAGTACCTACTATATAAAATAATTGAGAGAGAATAAATGTACGTGTAAACCTATACAATATAATTGTATTTTTATGTGTTGTTGTTATTTTTCTTGGGTAATTTATGAATGAAAATATTTTTAGTGGTTTTGAATTTTCATACTTTTTTACTATGATATGGAGAGTTGGATTTTGTTATTTTTTTTTTTTTAAAGAATTTTAAAGATATTAAATATAAAGAAAGAAAAAACAAAAAAAAAAAACAATAAAAAAAAACAACAACAACAATGGGAATAGTTCACAACTTTTTTTTTGTTTGCAAGGTAATCCAGGAAATAAAGAAACAAATAATAAAAGGATAAAAGTATTTTAATTTGATTAAAACTTATTTATTCAAAAAAGGAACTGAAATTTTTATGTTTTATAATAAGTTTTGGCTTTCTTCTTTCAGGAGAACGAACCGAAATTTGCAAAAGTTTTTTTCCTTTCTTGTTTTATTATTCGAAATTTTTATTATGAGCATTTCATTATTCTTATATTATTTAAAATTTGAAAGTTCTGAATATTTTTATATAATAAACTCATGATTATAAAATTGGATTTTAAAAATGATTGGGAAAATAAAACATAAATGAAGGGTAATTGTGTAAAAAACTTTTATATTTTTAATGTTATCTTATTAGATTTCATTTATAATTGCAAAATATTTAAGATATTTCAGTTTTTATGTCTTGCACTTTTAGGAAAATGTTTTATGCAGGTATAATATGTTTGTCCTATTTATGTTTTGTGTATTATTAACTTTAGTAATATTATAAATTTTTATAAAGTTACGGGCCTGATCGGCTATTTTACTAGGCAAGTAAGAAGAAAGTAAGTAACCATCATATATTTGTATAATGTAATTTTATTCGGTATTGCGTATCTCGTGTTTTTTTTCTAAAATGTATACAAAAATTATTCACTTTGTTTTTGAAAGTGTGACAGACGTTCAGCCGATAATTTGAGAAAACATACAATTCCAATTGAAAATATGAGTAATTTTATTGGAAAATTGAAATATTCATTAGAAAAATGGATAATTCTGATTTGAAGGTGAAGGAAGAGTGAGTAAAAAAGCAAGATTCACGATTAGGCTACAATATTTTTACAATTTCAATAAATAAATTCTTATAATTTTAAATCTACATATTTAATAATGTTACGTTGTACTAGCAGCAAAATAAATAAACAAGTTATTTTTTGTTTTAACAAAAAGTTAAATGTTACCCAGCTATTTTAAATAAAATCTAATTATTAAAATAATTTTTTTAAAATAAAGGGCTGAAAAGATTAAAAGATCAACAAATTTTCTGAAAACTGAGGTGTTATTGAACCAATTTTTAATTATTCTAGGGAACCGGAAGTATCAGGGTCGATTTTTTAAAAAAAGGTCCTCGAATAAAACTGTGACATCCAAATTGTCTCAAAACAAAGTTTTATTAGTTTGTGTATCGCACTAATACAAATTTATATTACCAGAATAATATTTGGCAAAAAACAAAGTTTATTTTTATGTTTTGGATAACTATTTTATAAAAAAAAAAATGAAATTTAAAAAAAAGAATTTAAATTTTAAAGAAAAATGTTCAGTTGTTCGATTTGAATTTTCAAAGCATACTATAATGTGTTTCAGTAATCAAATTTTTAGATACGCGGTTTGCTGAACTTCTTGCTTTCAGTTAGCGTTCATTAAACATTTTGGATCATTTGATATTGTAAAAATTTTTTATTTTACAATTTCGATCATAAAACTTTGCAAGGTTTGCGTTTTACTTGCAATTTAAATGTCACAGAAGTTAAGATTTACAGGACCTTTTCAACGATATACTATAGCTATATCCAGTTATTTTTTTTATGACTATTTGCAGGTTTTTTTTTGGAAACTGCAACCTTATAAGACTTATTTTTAAAATTATTGCTCGAGCAAAATCTGTAGACACAATGTACATTTGCATCTAAAGTCTGAATGAAGTGTAAGAACTACGATTTAGCCTTAAATTGTTATGTCGATCCTCGAATTGAATTCTCAAAAATTTATTGAATATGAAATTAAATTTTAATTCATTTGTTAAATACTAAAACAATAGTTTAATTTAGAAATCAATTATGTATATAATTCTCAAATAAAATTTATAGTAATAATTCTGAGCGATTAATTTATCCAGAAGTACTGACTTTTATACTTATGCATGTACATATACATACATACATATATTTAAATATTTAATTTTTTAAAATAATTTTAACAAACCTTTATTAATATTTGATGTAATGAACATTTACAATTTTTCGTCCAATTAATTGATTTTTTTGTATTTGTATCAGCAGTATTTGTATAATAATATATTGGTCGATTAATTGTACATGTATCTTGTAAATAAATTAATGCTTCAAGAAAATCAACATGTAAATTACATTTTGATGATGATGTACCGGGTGGTGTATCAGATTCACTTGATGATATAAAACCACCATGACCACCAGCAATACCACCTGATATATTATGACCACCAATACCTGCTGGACTACCACTATTATCAGGATTAAAACTACTCTGTTGTTGGTGTTGTGAATGTTGCTGAATTTGCTGTTGTTGTCGATAATATTGTGAAGTTGAAGCTGATAATGATGTTAAAAATGGTGTCGGAAATGATGATGGAGGAACTGATGTTCTTTGTTTTGGAATATCGCCTTCGTTCGTCGACGACATTAATAATTGATTTTAATTTTTATGGTTTTCTTTTTTTCTTTTTTCTTGAAATTTTATTGCTATTTTTTCGCTAATTATTTAATAAATTAAATTATAACTTTTAAATTATATAAATAAATTATAAACTTTTTTTTCCCCTATATTTTTATCACAGACTTTGTACTTTTTCCTTTTTTTAATAAAATTAAATTTTTTCTTTTATATTTTTTTAAAGATTAATTAAGAAAAGACGATATGATTAAATTAAATTTTCCAAATTTGAAAAAGTTTTTAATTTTAATAATATCAACAAAATTTGAACACAACAATTTTTATTTTAAGGTTTTTGTAATTAAAATTTTCTTTTAATTTTCCAACTTTTGAATGAATTACAAATTTTGTAAAAGTAAATTTTGCAGATTGAATTCATTTTTTTCTAAATATTTTATGAAAAATTTTAAGAATTTCATTAAAAATACAATGATTTCTATTAATTTATTTAAATGGTAATTTTTGATTATATTTGTCAAATTTTCTTAATTATTATTATAACACTAATTTTAATAATTTGAAGGCAGAAAATTCCAAAAAAAGAAAATAATTTATTTTTGTCTTTATTTCTTTTCTATTTAATTGTTTGCTTTTATAGTAATAACTGTTCAAATTCATCGAAACAATAATAGCATTGTCTTTTAAAATATCTGGTTGAATCTGTTAATTAAAATTTAATATGTTGATAGTCATAAAAGGAAGCAATTAAATGCTAATGACTTGTTCTTTTGTATACAGTTTTGAGTACAAGGCATTTCATTTAATATACGCTATTATGTGGTCTATAAAATGTACAAGAAATTTCAGTGCATAGGAAGGTTATAACTTATGAGTTTATTGTTAGTAAATTTTAAATTATAATTTAATGAAATTTTTAAAAGTTATTAAGAACATGCATAAATGGTATAAACACCAATGGTTAGTGTGCATAATGTAAAGTCTATCAGTTTTTAATTGGAATAACTTAAAATAAATAAACACATTTCTCCACAAATAAACACATTCTCTATTTCTCCAAATTCATATTTTTAATTAAATACCTTATAATTTGTAGTATACGCATGAAAGTAGGAGCATGTACATATGTATTTTAATGCCATTATTATCAATATATGGCTAGACTCATTTTGAGTCTTCCTATATTTTACGATGTTGAATGGGAAATTTGGAATACTTTTAAATAATTTTTGATTTTTAAATATACCCAAAGAAATGGAACTTTTCACAATATTTATAGACTTTATTTTTAATAATAATGCTAAAGAAAGACAATAGCTTTAAAGAACACATTTATTTGCAACACATGGAACTGAAAAATTATATGCGGATTTTTAATGTTATTATTTATATATCTATATGTATTGCATTAATTCCATTTCGTTAAACAAAAACGAAAGAAGGCGACTCGATGAAAATAAATGGCGGCTTTGTTGCCGAAATTACTTTTGTTTGTCAAAAATCGGATTTTTTTCTCCATTTTCCTTGCATTTAATACAGTACTAAAGACAAGCTTCATTTATATATACGAGGACAAAAAAAATTTTAAGCCTTATTAAAATTGCAATGAGAAATTAATTAACACGTGAACGGACACAAAAAGAAACAACAATAGACCTGCAATTACAGAGACCAAAGATTTTATTTAATATTAGCAATAGAAAGATGAAAATTTAATTCACGTCCTACTTGAAATTTTCAAAAATAACATGCTGCAGAATCAACGTCTACGAACGTGCTTAGTGAAATCAAAAACAAAGTGAAATGTTAGCGTTTAATTTACGAATTTAATAAACTTTTTAAATAACAATCATTAAACTTATATGAAATTTTTACAAGAGTTTCTCATAGAAACATTTTCTTGTACTTCAGACTCACAAGACTTTCAAAAAACCAGTTTTAACAACTATAGAAATAATTTCTGGTTGCAATTTTTTCTGAAAAGGATTTATAAGCTGTTGAATATTTTTTTTTTAATTAAGTACTTCTCATATTTGAATAACTTCATATAACTTACATTAATGGAATTTAATACTTATTTATATTATAAAGAACATAAAAATCTTACTTACTTAAAGCATTCAATCAAAATAAGTAGAATTATTTGCCAAGTGTACCATGTCATTCAAAATCATTAACATTATCTCATTTTTATGTTCCATTTCAATCTAATTCATATAAATCAATACGTACATACATATATACATATATCAACAATATATCAATCAATAATTTTCCAATAAATACAAGTGCCATTCAAAATCAAACGTATATTAGATTCAACTTCCTCCACATTATATAAGTAATAAAAAATTGTAATAAAATTAAAAAGAAAAAACACAAAATTTTCTTACGGCTTTAATCGCCTTCAATATTCAATCAAAAAAACCAGTTATTTAATTCGAAATGAAATCAATAAATATATAAAATAAATAAAAGTAATAAGCATTAAAAAAATACATACATATATGTAATCTAAAATCCGATCAAAAATATTATGTAAATAATGTCCTTACGCGGAAACATAATAAAGTATATATTTAAAATAATATAAGCAGACAAAAGGTGTACATTATATTTGGACAGTTACATAGTATTTAAGACATAAATTTTTGAATATTTAATACAAAGTTGGTGTTTAATGCACACATATACATACAGCGAACATTTTGTACATTGTTGCAAGATTGGAAGTGTTAAATTGTATTTTAATTTCCATTTTAACGTTTTCTATTCTTAATACAGCAGTGTTTTTAGAGTTATTTCACGAAACTGCATTGAAATATGCTTTGCAAACTACAACTGAGTTTACTTTACAAACTGGCGATTGTGATGTTATGATTAAAGTTCAATTTTCATCTAACTGAAATTTTGAGAACTGGTACAACTTACAAATATAATTACGTTTTACATATTACTAGAAGGCCCCAGCGCGAATAACAAGAAAAAATTAAAATTATATTCGGTTTCCGTCAACTCGCAAAATATAAAAACTGATGTCCATATACGGCCCAAAAATAGTCATTGCACTTGATTTAAAATAATCTTGAATTTTACATTTCAGATATAATCAGATTTACATCAGATATAAAAATCTTGCATCTCACCTTTCTATCATTTTGCTTTAGCACCTGTAAAATATTAATGAATGGTATGTTTACTATACAGCTCCGTATGGCTGTATCGTATGGCGTGATTTCGATTGATAGACGTACATAACAGTATACTAATGATAGGTGGCAGACTTATCATTTTCAAGTAATACCTGGATTCAAGTATTGAACACAAACGCTAATTTATTATATCGAAAAAGTACCGCAATTTTTTTTCTCGCTGCGCTACGTCCACTTCCATCTACACAAAGTTCATAGCACGTGTGCCGTTTTTTAGGCAAAGTGATAATTTATGTAATTGAAAAAAATATTCCGAACACAACTTCGTTCTAGTTTTTACAACTTCGAAGCTATAATGCATATTCGTCGGACAGAATTTTTTCAATCCGGTTTTGTTAACTCTTCAAAACTACGCCTACACTTTTTCTTTTTTGTCATGCTTTTTACTTCGTTTTCTCTTTCTGTGCGTTATTTCATTTTATTGCAAATCGTGCTAAAATTTGTGTATTTATTATGTATGTATTATAAGATTTCAGCGAATTTTGTAATTATAATTTTCGTCAGTTGCATTCTTAGTTTAATGCAAATTTTCCTCTTTTAAATATATTAAATGAAGTTTTAATCTCGGAAATTTCTCCCAATAAAATTTTTCATAAATATTGTCGATCGAACCTTCATTATTTCAAATATTCTTGCTACTTATGTATATTAAATTACATCACATATGTATGTACGTACGTTAATATATGTACTCTATAAAATACATTAGTAAATTAATATTTCAATAATGATAGCCCCCCCCCCCCCCCCCTCCCTTCCCGCTTCCACATTCCGTGTAAATAACAATAACTTATCTATAGAAAACCTACTATGCATTTAAGTTGTCTGATATTCCAGTCCAAGGCTAAAAATCTATTAAGAACAAAATTATGCTTTCAAACAATTTTTCAGTTATAATCAAAGAATCTATCACTTTGTAAAAATTTATGTAAGGCAAAAAACCACTTTAGATAAAAATTTCCAAAACAAAAACAAATAAAATATTAAAATGCAAAAAAAACTCTTGATTTTTTTTTTGCTGTTGTTGTTTTAATACAAAGACTTAATTTCCATAAAATGTTTTGACAAAACATCAATAAGTTCGATTCAGTTTTATCATCATAGTTCGATCTCATATGTATACTAGTATGTATATACCTAGTTCGTGTGCAGTATTATTATATATACGAGTGCATATTATTATAATGAAATACGAATTGCACAAAAACAAAAAAAAAAACGCATTATTTTAAAAAATACCACCGATTGAGCGTTCAACTTGAATATGTTTAGTTAAATATCAAGTGTGTAAATGAATGTTTTATTTGCTGCAAGGTAAAAAAAAACAAACAGAAAAAAAATCAACAATTTTCAATATTCTATAGTATATACACTACATTTAAGTACCAGACATGCTATTGGAATATAAAGTGAAAAAAAAAATTACAGAAAAAACAAATCAACACCGCCAACATTAAAGGAACACCAAAACTATAAATACGAATAGAAAAATAATCGCAATTGCATTTACCATTATTATTACTTTTATCTTTAGAAAATATCAGTTACCGCATTCTGGATATATTTGCCTGCCTGCTTGCTTACTGCTGCTTGCTTGCTCCTTTAAATATTCTATCAACTACATATATAAAAATGCTTTCAAGTATTGCAATCATTGCATTACAAAAGAAAAACCTATACGTTTGTGTTCTTGTTTTATGGTACAACCAAAAGGTTCTTAAGAAGATTTCAGGAAAAAAGAAAAAACTCTTGTCTTTTTTATTTTATTTTTTCTTATAAAATGTTTGCAATGTATTTGAAAATTTCATTCAATATTTAATAATAGTCGCAAAAAAAAAAAAACTAAAATTGAAATTGTGCACTCAAATTGAACTTTTCTTTAGAAAAATTGCATAT